AACTTTATTTATTTATTTTTTTGGTTTTTTATTTGATTTTCTTTTATTGTTATTTTAAAGATGTGATTTTTTATTCATTTTTTTGTTTTAATATAAAAATATCATTTTGCCCCTGCATTTAACAGAAAAAGTTAACAAAATTGACAGCAGGACCCTTTGTCCTAACGAAAGTGAAGTTAAAGGACCACCGGAATGATTTTGGAAATTGAGGGACTCAAATACAAATCGGGTCTAAGTTCAGGGACTAGTAAAACAATTAACCATGATTCAAATTTAGAATTAAATAAGAAGGAAGAGATAAACTTACCAATATTGAAGAACCCACTGAATGATTTTGATAATGAAGATAGCAGATGTTTCAGTGTACTTGTCTCTTTTACTTTGTTTCGAAGCCCTCTTGTTTTTTTTGGGGGTTTAATGATATGCTAATATTTTAATGATTGTTTTGATCAATATAGAGAAACTAATGAAGCAGCATGCATGGGCTGAGAAAAAAAAATACACGTTTCATATTCCTTTCCTCTTTTTTTTAATCTTGTTGTAAAGGTGCTTTTGTCTGGCCTTAATCCTTTGTGTGGGCTGAGAAAAAAAAGGTGTTGTGTAGTGCTAGTGGGCTAATATTTAATTATAGTATATTTATTTATAGGGATATTTGTAGAAATGTCACCTGAACTTATACATTAATTTTAATTTGTCACTTGAAAAAAAAATTCAAGAGAAATGTCACCTTAACTTTTCAAAATCCATGATTTGTCATCTAATGTTAACACCATCCAATTTTCCATCTATTTTCAAGGGTAATTTAGTCTTTTTATTTTTAATGATATTTTAAAAATGAAAAATTCATTTAAAAAAAATTATATATCTTTTAAATAATTAAAAATGAAAAGAAAAATTAGGAAAGAAAACTTCTCTCTTCCTCCTCGTGTGGCTGGGGAGCCCAGGGCACCACCATCCCATTAGTTGCTTTTATTAGCAACTCATTTAGCAAAGGTGTCTTAAAACCGTCCTTGAGAGACCATAAGAAGGGTACCCTGCTGGCTTCCAAAGCTTGAGCCATCGCCATAAGCTCCTTCTCCGGTGGCCTTGCGACTGACCCAAAACTAACATACACCACGGAGGATGCAGCCTTTTGTTTGTCAAGCCAGGACAGGCAACCAATAACGCCGTCTACGGCTGTTAGGGCTTCCGGCAATGGAAGGGATGTAGCAGCAGCTAGGTTGAAAGGTCCGACATAAAAAGCTTGTTGGATTTGGAGGAGAGAAGTTTTCTTTTTCCTAATTTCTCTTTTCATTTTTAATTATTTAAAAGATATATAATTTTTTTTAATGAATTTTTCATTTTTAAAATATCATTAAAAATAAAAAGATTAAATTACCCTTGAAAATAGATGGAAAATTGGATGGTGTTAGCATTAGATGACAAATCATGGATTTTGAAAAGTTAAGGTGACATTTCTCTTAAATTTTTTTTAAAGGTGACAAATTGAAATTAAGATATAAGTTCAGGTGACATTTCTACAAATATCCCTTGTTTATACATTGAAGCTTAAATTGGAAACTTTGCACTGGGCTGCAATGCACTAGAGCCCCTTCTTAGTTCCATCTTTGGTAATGTGGCTAAAGATTTGTATAAATTATATAAATATATAATATAATAATAGAAAATATAAAACTTTGTCGGTACAATCACTTTAATACAATCACTTTATATATATTCTAAACGGGGAGGGTTCGGGTTGGGGATTAAAATACCATCCTCGCCCCTCGCCGAACGTCATACCCAAAAAATTTCTCATACCTGTCTCCATACCCGTTTTTTGTCCTTCATACGCAACTCATTAAGGTCGAATCCCCGTGAAGACTTTTACCCGTGGGGAAAATTGTCATCCCTAGAAAAAATAGATGAGACTCACCCCAACCGAAATGTTAAATCCTACATGGAATAACATTTTTCTCTCTTCCTGTTATTTTTGGTTGTTTGACCTTGTGATGTTATTTTATTATTTTATTATTATTTTTTAATTAATGTGCCTAGATTGTAGTAAACCAATAAACAATATGTAATAAAATAATATTTTAATTTGACATATTGAGTGAAATGTAAAAGTCCATGGCCTTTCTTAGGATTTTCTGAAACAAAAGGCTAAGGCTGCGTTTGGTTCATGAAAAGTGATACTTGGGGATGGGAAATCAATTGATTTCTCATGTTTGGTACATCCATGCATGGGAAATGGTTGCCTGGGAAATCAATTTAGAATTACAATATAGAATTAAATGCATTCTTTTGTTATTTCATTTCATATGGGTATAATTGAAAAATTAAACAAAATTTATTTTACATTCTACACAAACCAAACATGGGAAAGGAAATAAAGTGGTATTTTTTGGTTACTTGCCCAACAACATTACCAAACATGGGAAAAGAATCTTCCATTTCCCATCAAATCCGTTCCGTGAACCAAATGTGGTCTAAAGAAAAAATAACTGTGAAAACTGGAAAAAAGAAAAGAAAAAAGATAGGCAATTAATAAGAGTGGGTTGTGTGTGGCTCTTTGTTAGCAGGTGGGTTGTGAGATAGGAAAGAGGCTGGGTTGTGGTGAGAAAAATTAAGAAGTCTATAATCAGCGTACTGAAGGAGTAGTGTTTTTGTTTTATTTTTCTAATTTTCTAATAGAAATTAACGGTGCTAGCAACTGTTAAATTAAACGTCATATGTCAAAATAGGCTAAATTGGTGATTTGCCCATGAACTTGTACCTAACTTATTGACCCCCTATCTTTTTTTAATTTAGAAAATTAAGGATATAAACTTTTTTCTTACACCAATTTCCCATATTGTCTAAATCCTCAACATTTCATCCAATTTTCTATTAAATCATTAAAAATAATATTACTTTTTTGGAAAAAAAAAATAGAAGGAAAAGAGAACAACAACAAAAACCCCTATCCCCACCCATTCGCGCCCCACATCCTCTATTTTTTTTTTTTTTTTAAATTCCTACCCCTCCTCCTCTCTCTCCATGACACTTCTCCCCAGGCAACCAGCCCCACCCCAACGCACCTTCCCCCGCCTCCCCCCCTCTCTCTCTTGTCACCCCCTTCCCTTAGGATTTGGGGTTTTGATCTTGAGTGATTAAGAGTATTTACGCAAGTTCAAAGGTCCTAAATTCGATTTCCTCATCTTCCAATATTGCTTGTATAAAAAATGAAGTATTCAGTTATGAAAAGAAAAAATGAATATTAAAATACACACAATTTTCAAGCAAGTTTGTACTTGGTTTAAATTAAAAAAATTCGGACATAGAACTATCTCACAATGCACGTAGGTCATGTGTTTTACAATTTATTGCACGAATGATCCTTGTGAAACTGAATGGTTCATATTATTGTGTGGTCGAGTCATAGTGTAATTTGGTTTTCTTTTGTACTTTTTGTTTTGGGGTATCAATAGCCCAAAGGTATTTGGGTTTGGGTTGATTTTGAGCCCTAAATCCAAAAATCCAATCACCAAAACCCCCAAAAGGTCCAGACTCCTCTTCATCCCTGGATGTATTTGCAGTCGGGGAACCGCAACGATTCTTCAAGAAAGTTCTATTCTACCCTCCAAATTTACTCGCCACAAATCCAAACCCTAATCCCAATCTCTCTCTCTCTCTCTCACAGAGCAAGAACCATGTCTCACTTTGGTAGGTCCGGCCCTCCTGACATCGCTGACACCTACTCTCTCCTGGTCCTCAACATAACCTTCCGTCAGTCTCTGTCTCTGCTTCTGCCTCTGTTTTTATTTTTTGGGATTTAATGGCGGTAATTTGTTGATTTATTTAATTTAAATAGGTACGAGCGCTGATGATCTGTTTCCGCTTTTCGATAAGTATGGCAAAGTTGTCGACATTTTCATCCCCAGAGACCGAAGGTCGGTTGGGATAAAGCTTTTTGTTTTGTGTGTATTTTTTTTTTCTATAATATGTTTGTTTCCGGAGAAATTGAGTAGCTTTGTTATGTTTGAAAACAATATTCATCAATGAAGAACTGCCAAGATATTGTTCTTGTTTGTAATCCCATTTAATCCTTATTTTTCTTATTCTCACGGATGCTGAGAAGATATGGGAATTCGACGCTTTTGATCATCTGTATATCGTGTTCGGAGGAGCAATTTAGCTTCTCTTAAAGTGGAGGACTAGGAACTTGTAGGAAGTGCAAATTTGAATTATGTCCTTTTCCCCTATGTTTTTGTTGTATTTGTTTCAGTGAATTGTTTTTCTATTTGAAGACTGGATTTTGGGTATTTATTTTCCTTTTGTGGGTTAGGACTGGCGAGTCTAGGGGTTTTGCTTTTGTGCGATACAAATATGCCGATGAAGCACAGAAAGCAGTTGAAAGGCTCGATGGTATGCACATTTTTATTTTTAGAAGCATTACTATTATTGTTATTCCTATTATTTTAATCTGGGTTTAATTTTCCTTTTAAAAAAAAAAAAAAAAATTTGTCTCGGCTTCCTAATTGTCTTGAAAATGTTAAATACTTTTCAGGAAAAGTTGTTGATGGTCGAGAGATAACTGTTCAGTTTGCAAAATATGGGCCAAATGCGGAGAGGATGTAAGTTTATCATTTTTGGATGTTTCTTATATATTGGATTCATGATAGCTGAAGCTTATCTTGAGTGCCGTATGTACCTGAACTATGAACTTCTAATAGGGTCTCCATATGCTTTTGCTACTATTTGTTAAAACTTAGTCTATTTACTATTTGTTGCATAGGTTGCAGTTGTTTTCTATGAATCCTATACTCTGTTTTATGTTAGCAATTTTGTATGTATTGTTTGTTCTTTTTTATTTAACTAAACTTAAAAGCCCTCATTTTGTTCCCAAGGGGTTTTGATTGTGGAACCAAAGTTTATTTGTTAGACTAGAAGGGTTTCTGGCATGGAATCATGCAAGGATCCCATATAATCATGGCTTTGGCTTCACACCTGCAATGCCTCCAAGCCAAAACTGAAGGTGTCTGATCTGCAAATTTGTGAAGGAAAACATTTTTCCATTTTTTTTAATGACTGGACCAGAGGAATGGGTTGTGACATCATCCGCCATTTTTCTTCTTCTTGTTCAAAAGTGACCGAAAAATTATGAATAATGGGGCAATCTGTGGTGGCGCGTAGGAGCTCATGGCAGCACCAGAAGGTTGTAGTGAGGTGGGGCCATCAGGATCGGATTAGATCTGGTGGGGTGGCAGTGGTCGTGGTTGTGGTTTAACGGAGGTGGTCTTGGGTTTAATGGTGGTGATTGTAGAGGTGGTGGGGTGGCTGTGGTGGTATGTTTGTTTTTTACCATGATGGTAGGAGATGTGGTGTGTTCACTGGTCATGATTGATGTTGCAGGTAATAAAAATAAAATAAAAAGAATATGGGGTAGAAGTAGATATATAGAGACGAGAGAGAGTTTTTTATTAATTTTTTGCCCACTTGTTTTTAATAAATACATGTGGCTTACATTTGGAGTCAATGTAAGCAGACATATGGGACCACACTGTCCACACACACTTAACAGATTTGTTAATGGAATGGTCCATATGTAAGGTTTATTCGTGTTCGTGTATGAGTTCGTAAACACTAAATAGTTCGGGGTTAACTTGAAAAGGCCCTAAGAGTTTGGGGGGTTTATGTAGTTGACACTTTTGTTTGTATATTTACAGTAAGTTGTACTTGAATTGATGTTATTTGAACTGCATTGATAATGAATTCGAACCTTGAAAAGCTAATTTTGTTTGTTATGTAGCTTCTATTTACCGTTCTTTTCCTGATCTCCCTTGTTTCAGTCAGAAAGGAAGGATTACTGAAGCTCTACCAAAATCAAGGTACAGGTCAAGAAGTCGCAGTCCTCGGAGAAGGTTAGTCTTCCCTTGGTCTTTCTTTGTGATGGATTGTGTTCTGTCATATAATTTGAAGGATCCTGAACTGAACCTTCTATTTTACAAGTGAACGTGTAATACGTACTATTTAAAATCTTCCAGGTACCGAGATGACTACAGAGACCGGGACTACAGGAGGAGAAGTCGCAGCAGGAGTTTGGATAGGTATGACCGTGACAGATACCATGGGAGGGACAGAGACTATCGTCGACGAAGCAGGAGCCGCAGTGCCAGCCCTGATTACTATAGGAGCAGGAGAAGAGGGCGCTATGATGATGAAAGGCGGAGTCGAAGTCGAAGTAGGAGTCCAATTCGAAGTCGTTCCATTGATAGGTTTTAAGCTCTGCTAATCATTATTTAAGTTATGTTCATAATCAAATACTAGCTCTTCCTTTATGATTATTTTTAATTTATATACTAATCTGTATTGTAGTGTCTCTCCTGCTCGGCGTAGCCCTAGTCCTCATAAGAGTCCTTCCCCACTAATCAGGAGCCGCAGTGCCACCCCTGATAGACGTAGTCGCGATGGACATTCCCCTACTTCTCGAAGTGTTTCACCACGCCATCGTCCTGCTGATTCTCATACCCCATCCCCTCGAAATTCAGATGTTGATGTGAGTTGATGTCTACAGTTTTCGTTGCTTCTGGAACGATTACTTTCTCCTGCATGGGTGGAAGAGCATTGAACTGGTAACTCTTGAATCGATTTTGCAGGATTGATGTTTCTGGTTGTATGGAAATGATGGAAGCACCCTGAGTTGTGTACTTCTTGCAGCTCTGCTGATGTCAAGGATCTTTGATCATAATGCGTTGTTTTAGTAGGTGTCTTGAGTGCTAGTTTTGGTAGGACTGGTTTCTTTAGTATTTAACTATTTAATGCTGAGCTTTATATATCCTTTATTGATCTGGGATGGACTTTGTAGTTTGTAGATTTGGTATTTCAGCACTTATGAAGGATGTGCTTGTGTGGTTTCTTAGTGTATCTGCCTTTCATCTTTATTTTTGTGTGTAATTTTATTGTTCACTTTTGTTCCTGCCTTACACTGTTACTGATATATGAGTCTATGGTCTCAAGTTGTCTGGTTCAGTTTATAGGACTGATTCATCACGAACTATTTCTTGGGTTTTATAGTTATGTTCGTGAAAAGAGTGATTGAGGCTTGGATAAGAGGATGTTGATTTGTAGCCGTGGGTGCTGTTTCTAATTTGTAGATGGATGGTCGTGATTGTGGTGCTGGTTGCAGCAGTATGCTGGTTTTAGAAGTATGATTGTTTTGGCAGTGAGAGCTGTTTGCAGGGCCAATAACTTAATCTGTTTTTCTCCATACCGAATAAATTTTGGTAAGAAATATGGTTTGGCTCTTTGTATCTGAAAAGTGTTATATACTCTAGGATTTTAATGTTTGACCTGATAGTCCATGAAAGGAGTTTGTAGTTGCTGCGGTGGCTGTAAGTGGGTCTTTACCTGCGTGTAGCTCATGCTGCATATGAGATTGATGTGTAGTTCGTTATGAACCTGAAATGGTTTGTAATTGCTGTGATGGTAGAAGTTGAACTGGTCTTCACCTGTAGCTGATGCTGCACATATGCAGCCACAGTAATGAGAAATGGTAACAAAGTTTACAGTTAATTTCTTCAGGGTATTTAAGACTACTATGTTTAGTCCCAACCTGTTTAAAATTGTATTAACCTTTGTGATGAATTTACATAGATCTTGTCTCACACAAGTTCAAGGCTCTAGCTGTGAAATGGCAGCTGATCAGTATTTTGTTGTATCGTAATAATGTTTCTTGGGTGACTGAAGCTCTAGCGAATAACCACCTGCAGCTTGCAGCTTGCTGTCGCTGTTGCTGCTATTTTACGATGGGGTTGGGTAGGCTATTACCAGTTGGGGCCTTGACAATGGCTGATTGGTGTGTGCTGATACCGAAAGATTTGTTTTGTGGTGTATGTTATGCCTATAACATGGATTGACGGTCGCCGGTCCTATGTTTCGAATTAGTCATCCCTCCATTAAAAGTGGCAAAATATGTACATTGACAATGCCTGATCTGACACAGAAACTATTTTGCTTTTTCTCATATATATAATGATCCTTCATTAATCTTTCATTCCTTTTCTAATTACAAGATCTGTCGCTTATCTTGTGCTGCATATACCCGAAATTGCCATACGATTCTTCCAGTCAGCGCATTATTGATTGTGCATTCAGGCTTGTATTTAAACTGGAGGTTGGATCTTGCATGTTTGCATACACAATCGATCTGCTCTCAGGCAACTCATTGTCATGTAAATTTGCTCCCAATGTTGCTAAAATTAATCAAAATTTTGTAGGCTCGTCAGTTTTCTGTGTTCTGGGTTCTCAGAAAATATGAAATGAGGAAGAAAAAGTTGGAGAGGGTAAAGATGTTTGCATACACAATCGATCTGCTCTCAGGCAACTCATTGTCATGTAAATTTGCTCCCAATGTTGCTAAAATTAATCAAAGCTGGAGAGGGTAAAGAGGCCAACCCAAGCTCAGCGAATTCGGGTTGAACCCGGGTTATCCAAACTGATCATGTTAGGATCAAAGTTTATGTTATAATTAAGGCTAATGTGATTAGCGAACAACAACATAAACAAGAAGTTGAATGTAAATCTCCCACTATTAACAATGTTATTTCCTTGATATTCCTTCTATAGCCCGTATGTACGTGTCCTCAGGCCCTCATGAAATGATTCATAATCACTTTGGAGGATCCTTACAATAGTATGTGCAAAAACAGACTCTACTTTTGCACACTCCGACACCAGATGGTTCTTTGGAGCATTCCTTGATGCAATTCTGCAGCTCACATCTGATTGATTGATCAATCAGCTTATGGCACGAGTGCTCCGGGATCCTCACGGCGCGTGCATCGCCACGAACCACCGAGCAAGTGCCAAATTCAACTGCCCAATTAAAAGGGGGAAAAAAAACCAATAGCTGAATTATGCTAGTTATGAGTATAAACCCCGAAATAATGAAGAAGAAGAAAAGAATTGAAAGCAATAGGTTAATGGTGTTAAGAGAGAAGGTACCTGAGACAAGAAGAAATAGCAGGATAGGGTAGAATGTGAAGGATGCCTTCATCTTCGGTACCAAAAAAAAAACTCAAAGCTTCATCATTGTAATTAATTTGTAAGATAAAAGAGTCCTTAAAAAAGGCTGATGTCTTGTTATATACGGTGGCCAAGATTCTTACAGAAAATTCTGAAAAGAAGAGAAAACTGGGCTGTATTATTTATTTATCTCAGAGACAGAGAATCAGTTCTCAGAAAATAATACTTTGGATAATTACAATTCTTTTGGTCAGCAACAAAAGTAAAGGTACCAATTTTCTCTCTTCTTTTTTTGCTCAGAAAATAATACTTTGGATAATTACAATTCTTTTGGTCAGCAACAAAAGTAAAGGTACCAATTTTCTCTCTTCTTTTTTCTTTTTTTTTTTGTTTTTGGGGTACAAAACCAATTTTCCTTTGGGTAGAGAAAGAAAACAAAATTAACAAGAGTAATTGGAAAGCAAGATTTCTCTGTTTGAAGTTGGAACCCCAGCCCAGCTCACCTTATATTCTTTTCTTGAACCAAAACATGGTAGACTTTAGATTAAATGCTTCTGATTCTATCTTATAGGGAGTTCATCTAGTGTCACATTTAATATGAATTGTCTAGTAGAAAACACCACCTTAAAAAAACAGCTTATATCCTATAACTTTGTTAAACTTTTGGCCAATTCAACAAAAATGTAGACTTAGCCTATAAAAAATGTCGCCACACTACAAGAATGTCTGCAAACCAGACGGACGATTTCTATAAACCAAACATGGTCCTTGGTCATGCGTTCAAATCCCGTAAGACCATAGAGGGTGAAAGATTTGAACCACATGCATCACAAACAATGCCGGTCAAATCCAAAAATTCACATGACCTACACGGAGTAAATATTTTAAGATTTGCTCATTAATCCAAAAGAACCATTTGAAGCTGAAGTTTCTCGAGTTCATACTTGCATAGAAAGTAAGGAACGTAGGATTTACGAACTTATAAAAAATTCACGAGAGTTTAGACAAACCATGTGTCAGTGCTTAGATTAACAATTAATAGACACAGTAGAGCCCAAAATTTAGTCCAATCTAAAACAAATACAGGTGTAAAAGAGACTAATATAATTAAACTTTGATCATTAGAAAAACCGTGAGGTGCTAATTTTTTAATGCAAGAAAAAGGGGGAAGTTGAACCTGCAAAATAAGCATTTCTAAAAACCAAGCCACAGCTTTACGCCAGTCAAGTGCTGGGAATAATCAGAAACAACTTAAGCACAACACCACAAATAACATAGGTAATTCCAGACGATTTCCACATTCGCACAAAATTGTACTTGAAAATATCATGTATCATAAAACATTAAACTAAGCAATTTCTGCTGCAGCAGATGAAAGTACCTCAAAAAATTTCAAAAAACAAAACTAAAGAAACACTTGAATAAACTAGACCAGTCCTTGGGGATAACCAACACAACTGTAAAATAGATCTAGTATCCTCCTTTAAGATCATTGACCACATCGTAAGGAATGGGAGTAACAGTTTCCATGACTGCACCTTCAACCCTGAAACCTGGCTTGGGTCCCTTTGGCTGCCTCTTGGTGCTAATAACCTCACCCTTTGCCTTGGCCTCAGCCTTCAACTCATCGTTCTTTATCTTCCTCAAACGGAATTCCTCAGTGCACCTTGAAGGCTGCACATGCTCCACACGCACATGGATCCTCTTCCTGATAATCCTGTTGCCAACCTGATATCACGCACAAGCATACAACTTGTAAACCTTCCAATAATCGATTGCAAAATAAAACATACAACAATCATTTAGCATCAGGGCAAAAGCAGGATAGAATTCCTCAAATCATGAGACAAAAGGAAACTAGATTTATCACAATGATCAAAATTACAGTGCTCAAATCAAAGCTCCTGATTGATCCAAGTAAAGGCTTAACCTATATTATCTCCATTGTACAAAAATGGTTCTCCCTAGAATCACTAACCTACATAATCTTTTATTTCCATAAGTGAAAATAAATTAAAAACCTAATTTCCCGATCCATAAAGGAAAAACTGAATCAAACACGTCATAACACATCCAGCAGACATGCATAAACTATATATAATCTGCACATAGCTTCCTATAGCTATTATTTCCCAATAGAAGCTGAACATTATTGATAACTTTTCTCGATCTTAATTGCAGTGAGTTATAAACATCTGACATACAGTAAGCCATTCTCTAACAAGGTGTATTACCCAGCTTCTCATTCAGCATAATCTAGACATCAACAGTACAATTAGCAGCTATAAACTAAAACCATCTGAAACCCACAAACCACATAACCATATACATAAAATCCCCATTTCCCCCTAACAACAACCACAACAATGATAGCTATAATGTACGAAGATGTCACTGAACACTATTAAGTCGAAATCAAACCAAAAGTTCGGAAATTTCAACAAGAACCCACAAATCCAGACAACCATTCCACAGAAGCAAATCATCAAACATCATTCAAACAACAACTCAGAGTCCAAAAATGAAAATACAGAAAAACCAACGAAAATAAATCACCTGCTTGTTGATCTCCACACCGATGGCGCGCTTGGTGACGTTCCAGACGCGACCAGTACGTCCATGGTAGAACTTGTGGGGCATACCCTTGTGCACGGCGCCGTTAACCTTGACGTCGACATAGTCGCCGATCCTGTAGGTCTTCAGATAGGTTGAGAGAGGGATGTAACCCTTCTTCCTGAAGGCCCGCGAGAAGAGATCGCGAGTACGAGACCTGAGACCGTGTCCAGCCGGCATTTTGAGCTGCTTCTCTCTCTCTAAGGTTTGGAGGTTTCTTTCTGAGAGTGGCTGCTAAAGCCCTAGACAATGAGGGTGCGTGTGGATGTGTTATCTTGCTTTTATAGTATGTGCGGTGACTGAGGCGGGTAGGGTTTCGGTGATCCGATTTTGGGATTGAGATATGGGCTGGGCTTGTAGTGTCAACAAGAAGAATTTGTATCATTGGGCTGGCCCAAGAAGAATGGGCCACAAGATTTGCTTGTTCTTATTTTATTGGGCTTGAAATCTGAACCCTGACCCAACATTTACCTAAAGCTAGGTGTTCTTGTGTCTTGGTCTTGCTAGAGAAAGAAAATAAGTTATTATCTAGGCCCAGTTCAATCTCAAAAATTAGCTCCATTCATAGTTTTTTTTTAAGTAGGAAGATTGAGATGAAGATTCTGTTTGGGAATGCTTCTGGAAGAGTCAAAATCACTTTCTTGTGCGTCATAAAAGTGATTTAAGTGATTCTTCAAGAAGCATTTGCAAGTGTTTTTTTTTTTCAGAAAGCACTTAACAAAATTTTCGATGTTCTTCTAATACAGGCACTTTTAACTATGGCAAGAACCAAACTCTTGTCTTGGATATGTGATGATAAGTATTATACCACTAAACTGAAAAAAAAATCTCACAAACCAAAATACTTACCATTCTCTTTTACTACGTGCGATATTGGGTGAGGAATCGAGAACATGATTTCTTTTTATTTTTCGGTTATATAAAATGGTAGTTAGTGGGCTACCACTCCGAGCCGGGTCGCTGTTTACAGAAAGCTTTCCCCAAGAGGTTCTTTACAAGACTCGAACCCTTTGGGTTGAGAACATGACTTAAAGTGCAGGATAAATTGGCATATAGTTAAATTGGGATGAAACCATGGAAACCACCAAGGTCAATCTAATTACCATCTTTCCATACAGGGTAAAAGCTTCTTTTGCAAACCGTGGTAGACACTTTTCCAACTTTTTGGTGAAGACCATGTAGAAGACTTGGAAGGAGGACAACATGGAACCATCAGGCATGGACCATGCTATTCTTTTTTTTTCCCTCACAAAATTGCATTATTCCAAAAGTCTTGGGGCACGTTTCGTCGTCTGTGGTCCATTCTCTTGCCCCTTGTATACACTTTTCTTTTCTAGCATGCAATTGCATATTTCCACAAAAGATTCTCAGTTTTTAGTCGTCTTTAGCTAACACCCGAGTCTTCCCTCTCACTTCGTTCTGCACTTTCTACACGCACCATTTGACCTTTTGATTTTTTGAATTTTTTTTTTTATAGCAATAGTATAATAAACTCACACACACTATACGGATGTTATGACTCAAACTCAGGACTTTGCCTGCAGAGACAGCCCATAGCGTGCCGTGCCCGTGCTCGTGCCATACTCGGGCCCAAGAACCAACCCATTTAATTTGAATTTTTTTCACTTGATTTTTTTTTCCACTAGATAATTCAAATTATAAACATTAAAAATATAATTAGAGGCAAGAAATTATGAACTATTTGAAAACATTAATTAATCAAACATCCAAACAATATGAAGGGGCGGAGAGCAAAAAGTGTCCAACTCCACAAAGTCCACTTGAACTTTTCATCTTTAAACAACTTATTATTTTATATGTGAAGAAATGTTTTGCTTTGATTATAGGAGAAGCGCATATGTCATATGTATTGATTAGATATCAAGTCCAATGTTGTTGAATTAATTTGTAGTTTATATGTTTAATTAACTAAGGACCCAAGTAATTTCTCTAAAATGAAAGACATCAAATATATGTTTATGATTTTTTTTTTTTTTAAACATATAAACAATGACATTAGATGTCAAATTATTGCATTTTGACTTTTTGAGAAGAAGAAAAAATTGCTAAATTGGCCGTGCTTGAAGCAGGCTTGGGCCATGGCCCGGCCCGGTCCATTGGACCTATTTCTTGATCTCGGCCCGGCCCAAGTTTTCGTGCCGTGCCAAGCACGGCCCATTAATATTCGTGCTCGTGTCGTGCCATGCCTCATTTAAACGGGCTGGGCTCGTGCTGTGCTGGGCCGGCCCGTCCCTTTTGACACCTCTAGTGCGACCGCACAGGGCCTCTAAAATTTAGGGACCTTCAAATGTTTTTAAAAGCCCAACATTATATTATATATTTTTCTGCTACTTTTTGTTCTAAGCAAATTTTTATTCCAAAACATTATTTTTTGTTCCTAACGTGCAGATTTTTGTTCCAAGCATTAACAAATTTTAAAAAACACTCGTGAGTCGTGCGTGCATGCAACGTGCTCTCCTTGCCATTCTCAAATCGCTTTTCTTTCATTTGGCCCCAAATTCACTTCTTACCAACTTCTTCTTGACTCTCCCATCCAAAAAAAAATTATTCTTTACTCTTTGACAAGGCAAAAAGCGTGCTATGCATCTCTGCTCCTCCACCACACCTCTCTGTCTCTCATATTAGAATTTAGAAATTATGTGTTGCATTTGGAATTAGCCATCATATGATTGCAAGAAGAAACCTAAAAAATCAGGTGAATCTCTATCCCCTAAAGAAAATTTTGAAAATTTGTTATTTTACTTGTACATATAAGGCCTCATCAACCTTCTTCGCACAGGGCCTCCATATTTAATGAACCGACTCTGCTTGTCTGAGAGAGTAAATATTCTAAACCACTACACTAATGGGTCCTTCGCACCTTTTGATCTTTTAGTATGTTGGTAGTAAACCACAATAATTTTTTTAATCATTTAATTAATGCATTGAAGCCTCCTTTTCCTACCAACCAGACCGTGGAAATTATAAGCAGAAAGAATGGAAAATAATATTCTTGATTGAAGACTTGTGGTTGTTTTCAGCCTAGACTTTTGTCACATCTCTTTCTTTTCCACATTATTGTACCCTTAAGAAAATACATCCCTATATTACATATGCCAATTATTTATTAATTAATTAATCCAATTTTTTTCACTATATATAATCAGAGTTGCCCAAAATGAAACCATTGATCCTTTCCTCTAAAACCCTTTTTGCTTTTTCTCTACAATGGCCAAGACCCTCCAAAACCTCAATTCCATCTACACCATTTGCATAACCATTTTCCTCTTCTTCTTCTTCTTCTTAACCCTTGCCAATGCAGAGGCTCACCGTTTCTCAAAACCCTTATCTCCGTCAAAACATGGTCTAAAGAAGGAGAAACTAAGCCATCTCCACTTCTACTTCCATGACATATTGAGTGGCCGAAACCCTACAGCTGTTAGAGTTGCTGAGGCACCCACAACAAACACTTCCTCGACTGTGTTTGGTGCTGTGGTCGTGATGGACGACCCATTGACTGTTGGGCCTGAACTGGGCTCCAAGCTTGTCGGAAAAGCCCAAGGGATTTATGCTTCAGCTTCACAGAGTGAGTTGGGGCTTTTGATGGCCTTCAACTTTGTTTTTGTGGAAGGGAAGTATAATGGTAGCACCCTGAGTGTGCTGGGGCGCAACTCCGTGTTATCCGAAGTGAGAGAGATGCCGATAGTAGGCGGAAGCGGGCTTTTCCGGTTCGCCCGAGGCTATGCTCATGCTAGCACTCACCAGGTTGACTTCAAAACTGGAGATGCTGTTGTGGAGTATAATGTTTATGTCTTCCATTATTAACTGATGTAACTGCTAGCTTCTTTTTTCTTTTCTGGGTTGTAAATCCACCATTTGTGTTGATTTTCTGTGTGAGGTTAATAAAAGAGAGGTAGAGGATTTGAGAGAAATGATTGAGAATGGGCTTGGATTGGAAGTAGCAATAGAAAGGAAGTCTAGATTGGTTTTCTTGTCGAGGATATCAAACAACTTCTCCTTACTTTTCATGTTAATGGCTTATCTCATGCGTCTCTCCTCACTTTATTCAAGATTTCTTTTATTTTATTTTTTCAATAAAAAAGTGTATATGATTTCTTTTCAATAAAATATCGTTACTTCTTAAAAATAAATTATAATGGGAACTGCAGACCCACACTATGTAAATTCCAATAAGGCTCGCATGGCGTGTAAGAAAATGGACCACCCAAAAATTAATGAGACTCCGTTGAAAAAGTCAATGAAAATGCACTAAATTCTATGATAAAAATCTAACAAACTCCATTAAAATCCATACAGAATTCCGTCTAAGTTTTTGTATGGTCTATAAAATTCATTACAATCTCAATTAAATACCTATAAAATCTTTAAGAATGTTGTATCTGAAAAACGTGTAAATATATTATTTTCAAATGAAAATTTTAGAGGTGTATTCAATTGGGATTTTAAAAGATTATTTTGGAATAAATAAATCTCGTGGTATTTAATTAAGACTTTTAAACTATCTAATCAAGTCTTGTGGTATTCCATTAAGACTATTAGGATTTTTAAAAGAGTGTGTCTAAATGTATTGGTAATCAATCAAGACTTTAAAAAGGTAACCAAAAGTTTTATGGTATTCAAAAACTTACTAATTTTGAAGGATTTTTTAAAATGTGGAATTGTATGGGATTTTTTAGTGGGAGGTATAAATATCAAACCCTATCTCAAACCCCACCCTAACCTATCAGATTTTCCAAGTGGGATTTTTTTCTCTGCTGTAAAGATGAACATACATGCTCATGAAATTTCTCCGAATCTAGATTTACTAGTTTTTCAAATGAAACTATACAAGCAATGCAATCAATCGTTGTCTCTCTCTACAACCATCTAACCACACCTTTTATTGGTTGAACAAAACAAAAACCACACCTTCTATTGGTTCCTCAAAAGCTACAATATTCTTGGGCTTCGGCTAAAATCATGAAATCATGTACCCAGCTAAGGAACCATGAAATCATTCAACACTTCCATGCCCATATCATCAAACATGGATTTGGTAATCATGTATGTGTGGCCATTTCTCTCCTTCAAGCGTACATTGTTGTTTCGTTTGTGGATGCCTGGGAAGAACACTGTCACGTTGAACATGATGATTGCAGGGTATACTTCTCATGGATGAAAGTTTAAAACCTGACCAAGTGACTGCAGGCTCAGTTTTTTGGATTAACTCTCAAAGTTCCCACCCATTTCTTGGATTGGTGTCTTGTGCACATTTTGGGTGGTGGGTTGCGTGAATCTTCATGTTTTAAATTCATGAACTGTGAGTAGTTTCTGAAACAGTTATGGGGTTTCGAGAAAGCCATTTCATTTATAAACTTTGAGGGAGCTAAAAATATATTTCTCATGTTTGGTAGTGCAAAAGTGGCTGGAAATTGTGTTAGTATGAAAATTGTATTGGCATTTCTTAGACTCTAGCATAAGTCGGGAATTAGTGTGTGAATATCTTTTACTAGAAGTTTTGGCGCAACACATTCAATCTCGGATCTTCTAAGTGTGACTTGATCGCTATATGGAAACTGATTTCAAGTAAATCATGACATGATCATGCATTCATATAGGATTCCTAGTTGGAGTTATTTTCACTCAAGTACTTTTATGTTAGTCCTATTTTTAATATGATTAGATTTTATCTCTTGAGATTACTTTCCTAGTTGGATCGTATTTTGATTTAAGTTCAAATATATAATTTTTTTTCCTCTTTGACTTGGAGAGCACTTTTTATTAATACCTAATTGGTTTCTTTGATTAATATTGTTTCCTTCTATAACAATTGATTGGAGTGAAAGTTATCTGTGATAGTGCACAAGCTAACAAAATTAAATAGGATTCTAAGAATCAAATCTCATCAATTGCACGAGATTTCACGTGGCTTGGTGGACTTCTCTTCCGAAAAGGAGAATGTGTTCTGGATAAAAAGAGGCGTGCTTCTAAGAAAGCTATTGTGCATAACTTTAAGATAAGTCATCAAGTGTTCCATGTTTACTTGGTGATTTATCAAATACTTTCATCATTCATATTGCATTCATTTGCATGTTCGGTGACTCATACGGTTGAGAGCATCAAGACCGTTGTGGCAATTTTTCTCCAGTGAGTTTGAATCGATCATGACCAGTATCAGATTCAACATAAAGAGAGTTGGAAGAACTCTGGCAAGTTTGAAGCAATCGTGACTAGTATTGCGTTCAACATGAGGAGTGTCGAAAGATCATCCCGTGACAGAAGTTGAGTTATGAAGAAGTTGGTAAACGTTATCTAGAATGTGTCTAGGATAAGTGTGTGAGTACTTCTTGTAATCATCGTTTTATAGTGGGTTTGTTTTGGACTGAGGAGTCTCGTGGATTTTCCCTAGAGGTGGGGTTTTACCACGTAAAATAATTTTCCGCGTGCCCCTTTATTTTATGCTCAGCACGTTTTAGGATTGATAAGTCATATCAATTATGCTACTGAAGTTTATTTTTATTTATTGATTATAATTTTAAATTGACCTATTCACCCCCCACTAGACATTCTTAGTCATCCTTCAGGTAATTTCAAATTGCTGTATTGAGATTGTATGATTGAGCTTGAAGCATACTTCGGAAATATAGTTTAAGGTTTGGTATAGATGGTTAGGCCATTGGTTTTTGAGATCTTGGAAAAACCAGCCACAAAGGAATATGCAGTGCAATTTGGTTCTACATACAGAAGAAAAACATTGGGTATTAACATGTGGGCTTGAGTTATGAAACTGCCATTGCATGGCACCATTGAAAGATTATAACTTCAGCTTTTTCTAATATAAGCATTCTTCATCTTGTTTGCAATATGAGTGCACTTTGGAGTCTTGGGGTAGTAGAAAAGTTGGGGCCTATAGGTCTTGGGGTGGAATATTATCTGCTGTACACATGTTTTGGTTGTACTATTCGGAATGCTTGTTAAATCCACGTGGCCCTTTCAAATCTTATAAATTATACAATATAAATCTGTAGGGGTCTTTTTCTTCCGGCAGCTACAAATGGGCTGGGCTGCCGTAAGGAGCGAAAATGGGTGAAATTACCCCCTGTGTTTGAGTTCAAAGATCAAGCCCCAAGAATGTTTCGAAAAGACAGTGAAGCCTTAGGAAACACCTTGGTTACCTTCACCAACAAAAATAACAACTTACAGGTAGATTCTTAGCTTGGCATGAGAAGCTTGTGGCATGGGAGCAAAACCATCATGAGTTTAGCATCAATAGAGAGAGGGCTGTGAATTCCTATGAGAAATAGGGGTTCTAAGGAAAGGGGGGAGGTATTTTGGAAGGAGTTGTTGAAGAAAGAGAGAAAAAGGAAGGTGGGTGTGTTGAGCAGTTTCAGGCAGCTCGACGAGAGCTCTGTCAAACTTTGGAACAGTCTAACAGGAGCGAAAATGGGAGGAAATGGAAAAATTGGGCACGAAATTGCTGGGCTTTGGTGAGAGAGGAAGCTTGCCCTCTGGTTGTGGCTGTTTTTTGTTGGGTAGAAGAGGCCCTATTTATAGCCGCTGGAAGCCATCTTTTTCCAAGAAACCCTAATGACTTCCATCCCATTTTGCCAAGTCTTTCCCTTCCTTTCTCCCTTCATCCCTTCAATCATCCTATTTTGGTGAAATCTACTCTGCTCCTTTGCACAAAATCAGGGGTTTTGGGATCTCAAGGTCCTTTTTCCCGCAGCTGTCCCAGTGGGGAATGCCCACTTTCAGCTACCTTTCTTCCTTCTTTTCTCCCTTCTTCTATGGCTAGATCTGAAGGGGAGAAAGAAACGAGCATGCACACTGGTTTGAAAGGTGTTTTGCTCAAGTATCCTTTGGTTTTTTGGATGGCTTGTGTTGGGATTTGTTATTGGCCATGTGTTGGAGGCTCCTAGCAGCTTAGATACATGGATAGCTTTGGTCTTTGTCGTTGTTTTTGTCTCCAGCCATGTACTGGAGGCTTGTAGATATTTTCTTGGTTTGCTTGGGCTTTCTTAAGGTGATAAGTAAGCCTACTAAGGGAATGGGCTAATTTGATAGGCTATTTTATTGAGATGATGAGCTAATTTTTCTCTCATTTATGCTTACCCACATATTTGGGCTCAAGAAATGGGCTTGAGTTTCGGGACTCCCAAGCAGCCCAAAACTTCCATTTCTCGACTCATCAATGGGCCTCATGAAAACTCCTAACCATCCATACCACAACCCACTTAGCAAGCCCCAGGCATTCACATGGCTTGGGCCCACTTAAGCTTGTAGCATGGCGTGTTGCTTATTTGCTTGGCGTGGCACGTGTGCAAGCGTATACAACGAACTCTTGCGCACCCAAGTTGGGTTTCGTCCCAAGTTAGGTGTCGTACTGAGCTAGAAATATATTTGGGCCCAACCTTGGATTTTTTGGGCCTCAACAAAATCTTTTAAAATTCATAGTAAAAAATCTTGATCATAAAAATCCTTTAAATAAAATTCTATGAATCATTACATTCTGCTTAAATCCACTAAATTTTTATTATCCTAAATAGTCTTTTAAAATCCCAATTGAATACAGCTTATCAGCTGTCGAAACCATTATGTCACAATGACAATGCCACTATACTTGCTTTCTCTCACTTTACACGTCCTCCTTCAATAATCTATAAATGCCACCCACAACCCCAATATACAAAAAGGTTGTATAAAGCCAGAAGCACAAGAACAAAACTTCAACACAATATTTCCAAATTGCATTTTCCCAACCATGGCCAAGAACTCCAAATCCCTCCTCATTTCCTTAACTATTATCTTCTTCATAACCATGGTCACTTCAAAATCACCAAACTTCTCTCAAAACCCATCTCTACAAGCACTTGGCCTCAACAAGCAAGAGAAGCTAAGCCACCTCCACTTCTACTTCCATGACATTGTCAGCGGTCCAAACCCTATTGCCATTTGGGTTGCCCAAACACCCACATCCAAAAAATCCCCAACCCTATTTGGCTCCATAGCCATGTTTGATGACCCATTAACCATGGGCCCCGAAAAAAGCTCCAAGCTTGTGGGAAGAGCACAAGGGATTTATGGGTCTGCTTCACAAAGTGAGGATGCTTTGTTGATGACCATGAACTTGGCTTCTTAAAAACCCAGCATTATATTATATATTTTCTGCTACTTTTCATTCTAAGCAATTTTTTATTCCAAAACATTATTTTTTGTTCCTAACGTGCAGATTTTTGTTCCAAGCATTAACAAATTTAAAAAAACACTCGTGAGTCGTGCATGCGTGCGACGTGCTCTCCTTGCCATTCTCAAATCGCTTTTCTTTCATTTGGCCCCAAATTCACTTATTACCAACTTCTTCTTGACTCTCCCATCCAAAAAAAAATTATTCTTTACTCTTTGACAAGGCAAAAAGCGTGCTATGCATCTCTGCTCCTCCACCACACCTCTCTGTAGGCCTCATCATTTGGCCCGCGGGCTCATGGGCTTACGGGGGCCCGCCCGGCCCATCGAAAAAAAGCCCGGCCCGGCCCGTTATGGGCTTTGAGAGAGCCCGGCCCGCTTGGGCTTGGGCTGGGCTTGGGCTTGAGTGTTTGAAGCCCAGCCCGGCCCATAGGCCCGGCCCGATGAAGCCCAGCCCGGCCCGTAGGCCCATATATATATAGCCGTTATCTAATAATAATACATAGCCGTTAGGGGCTGGTGCTTGTTTCTGGAAAAAAAAAAAGAAAAGAGAAAGGCCCAATAGCCATTTAGGTCAGACAACCCAATACAATGCCTCTATATAAAAGAGGTATTATCAAATAATTCAGTCTAAACCTAGTGCCGCCCACTTCACTTCACTCTTCCTCTTCGGCTCTGTCTTCCTCTTCATTTCTCTTGTAGATCCAAGTCCAAGAGAAACTAAGATTGCAGATCTAAAACAATGATCCAAGTCCAATAATCCAGGTATCCATCTTGATTTCTTCTATTGGCTAAGATCTCTCTCTTTGATCTTATTTGTGTGCAAGAGTAACTGAGGTTATGAGAAGTTCATATCTATCCTTTTGCTAAAATATGTTTGCTGTATAGAAGTTCATCTCTTCCTTTTGTTATTATTATTTTTATGTTTAGCTCTTTGTTTGTGATGATTTGCTTTGGCTTTATGACTTTTTATGACTTTTTATGCTTTGTTTGTGATGATTTGCTGTTCTTGTGGCTACCCATGTTCTCCCATTTTATTTATTTGTTATCTCTTTCTTTCTCTCTTTCATCTTGTATCTCCCGTGCACTTTATCTCTTTGTTTATCTCTTGTGGCTACCCACTTACTAATTTGCATCTTATCACGTTCATCTCTGTTATGTACCAGTTTCGTGCACTAGGGAGAAACACTAAAGGGGCAGTCACAGTGGCCTTCTTTCATTTTCTATGGTTGTTGGTGGAAAAAGGTAAGGAATTATCAATTGTTTTAATTTTATAATATATCTTGCTGTATTAGTGTTGAACTTTGATTATTAACGACTTCTTGGTTTATTTTGCAGGTGTTAGTGCTGCAAAACTAAAGCTTGTGCTCTGCTGTTTATCAAGTAACACTTTCCATTTGTCTTTATTTTTCTTAATATCATCAAAATGGATTCTTCTAGTGCATCACCTGCGTCACCTTTGCTTGAAAGTACAAATGATTCAAATACCCCTTCAGAGTCACGTAGTGCACCTAGATTAACAAGTAAAGTTTGGTCTTTTTTTGAAAAGGTTAACAAAATTGAAAGTGGTAAACCAGTAATTAAGGCTAAGTGTGTTATTTGTAATACTTTGTTGTCTGGTAATTCTAGTAATGGTACTAGTCATTTATCTCGTCATTTAAAGAAGCATGAAGATGCACAAGCTAGGGTAAGTCCAGGTCAAATGTTATTAAATGCTGATGTTGCTGGAAATTTGACTAATTTTGTTTATGATCATGATGTTGCTCGTAAAGAACTTGTGGATTTTATTATTAGAGCTGAACTGCCATTTACATTTGTTGATAGCCATGATTTTAAAGGTTTGATTCAGCGTGCATTCTGTCCTCAATATAAAGGAATTTCAGCCTCTACATGTAAAAGAGATGTGCTAAAAAAATTTGATATAGAAAGGATTAATTTGCTTGCTGTTTTTGAAAAACTTGATTCAAAAATCTGTTTAACTTCTTATGTTTGGTCATCACGACAGAAAATGGGTTATATGTCACTTACTGCACATTTTATCGATAAAGAGTGGTGTTTGAATAAAATGATAATTTGCTTTAAAATGATTGAGTACCCACACACCGGAGAGTCACTTGCAACTCATATATTTGATGAATTGTTATCTTGGCACATTCACAACAAAATATTTACTTTATCATTAGATAATGCATCAAATAATGATTCAACTGCAAGTATACTTCCATCAACTCTTTTGCTGGATTCTGTGCATGAAAAGTTGTTTCATGTACGATGTTATTGTCATATATTGAATTTGATTGTGCAAGATGGACTTAAAGTTTTATCTCCGTCTATTGATAAGATTACTGATATTGTTCGTAGCATGAATTCATCTAACAAGAGACATGAAATTTGGGTGAAATGTTGTAGTGATTTCCATATGGGAAAAAAAAATATAGATATTGATGTGCCTCATAGGTGGAATTCAACGTATGAGCTTATACATGTTGCTCTAAAGTATAAAGCCCCTTTGCATAGGTATGTTCAAAAGGTAAATGAATCACGTTTTTGTAATTTACAAGTACCTAGTGAAGAAGATTGGAGAATAGCACAACTTGTTAGTGGGTTTTTACAAATTTTTTATTCTTCAACTAAGGTATTTTCTGGTGTGTATTATCCTACTTCAAGTCGTGTTATTAATTGTTTAATAGATATTCATGGATCATTTGCTGCATATTCTGAATTTTCTGTTTTTAAGGATGCTTTGACTGAAATGAAAACAAAATTTGATAAATATTGGAAAGAGTTTCCTATGGTTTTTTGCTTTGCTACTATTATGGACCCTAGGTTTAAATTATTTGCAATTGCTGAATGGTTAGACATGATAGGTATTGATCAATTAACCATTGACTCAAAAATTTTAGCTATAAAGACTTTATTATTTCAGTTATTTGATATCTACAAGAAGAATGTAATTCCTAATGTTGTTCAAAATGTGCAAAATGTTGTTGCAACTTCTACTGGCCAAACTCCTAGTTCTATATCTGTCCCTATAATGAGAAATTTCTCTATTGAAGGCTTGAAAAGGAAAAAGCTATCTTCTTCTTCTTCTTCTTCTTCTTCCACCAACACTTCTGAATTACAATTTTATCTTGATTTACCAACCATAGAAGTTGTTGATGATAATCAATTTAGTCTTTTGGGTTGGTGGAAAAACAATCAATCATTATACCCTATTGTTTCCCTTATGGCTCGAGATTTGCTAACTATTCCAGCTTCTACTGTAGCATCAGAATCATGTTTTAGTGCAAGTGGTAGAGTTGTATCGGAGAAAAGGGCTAGTTTGAGTCCGAGTACAATAGAAGCTTTAATTTGCTTGAAAGATTGGGCCTTGGCAAATTCAAGAAAGCAAGATGCATCAGTGGATAAGCAACGAGCTGAAGAATTAATGAACATTAGAGCATCAAGACCAGATTGGATGGTAGACAGTGACGTTGAGATTGTTGGTGAATCTGAAAATGAGACCATTCAAAGTTGAAATGTTATGTAATAGGACTATGTTTAATGAGTTTAGTTGTTTATAACTCTATGATTTTGTGGTTTAGCTAAAGCTTGGGTCACGCTGCATTTAGCCCACTTCAGTCTGCATATACCATCCTTATAAAAAAAAAATATTTTTTAAGCCCATTTCGGCCCGGCCCGTTGGGCTTAGCCCGGCCCGGCCCATTGGGCTTAGCTCGGCCCGGCCCGATGGGCTATTTCAAGCCCGGCTCATGGGCTGGGCTTGGGCTTTGAATTTTCTAAAAAAGCCCAGCCCGGCCCGATATTTTCTCTCTCCTCTTTAAAGCCCGGCCCGGCCCGGCCCATTGACGAGCCCTACCTCTCTGTCTCTCATATTAGAATTTAGAAATTATGTGTTGCATTTGGAATTAGCCATCATATGATTGCAAGAAGAAACCTAAAAAATCAGGTGAATCTCTATCCCTAAAGAAAAATTTGAAAAATTGTTATTTTACTTATACATATAAGGCCTCATCAGCTCTTTTCGCACAGGGCCTCCATATATAATGGACCGGCTTTGCTTGCCTGATAAAGTAAATACTCTAAACCACTAAACTAATGGTCATTCCCACTTTTTGATCTTTTAGTTTGTTGGCTATAAACCACAAGAATTTTTTTAATCATTTAATTAATGCATTGAAGCCTCCTTTTCCTACCAAATCGTGGAAATCATAAGCAGAAAGAATGGAAAATAAATTTCTTCGTTGAAGACTTGTGGTTGTTTTCAGCCTAGACTTTTGTCACATCTGTTTCTTTTCCACATTATTGTACCTTTAAGAAAATACATATATTATATATGCCAATTATTTATTAATTAATTAATCCAAATTTTTTCACTATATATAATCGGAGTTGCCCAAAATGAATTCATTGAGCCTTTCCTCTAAAACCCTTTTTGCTTTTTCTCTACAATGGCCAAGACCCTCCAAAACCTCAATTCCATCTACACCATTTTCATAACCATTTTCCTCTTCTTCTTCTTCTTCTTCTTCTTCTTAACCCTTGCCAATGCAGAGGCTCACCGTTTCTCAAAACCCTTATCTCCGTCAAAACATGGTCTAAAGAAGGAGAAACTGAGCCATCTCCACTTCTACTTCCATGACATAGTGAGTGGCAGAAACCCTACAGCTGTTAGAGTTGCTGAGGCACCCACAACAAACACTTCCCTGACTGGGTTTGGTGCTGTGGTCATGATGGACGAGCCATTGACTGTTGGGCCTGAACTGGGCTCCAAGCTTGTCGGAAAAGCCCAAGGGATTTATGCTTCAGCTTCACAGAGTGAGGTGGGGTTTTTAAACCGTTTCTTTGCCTACATCAAGCAAAGAAGTTTCTTCGAGTGCTAGTGCTTTTCATTTGGATTTTGGCATGAATGAAGAAGTTTTGGAACCAAAGAAAAGGAAGGGAGTTAGTGGACCTCTTGAAAAAGCTTTCCAAAAAAATGTAAGGGAGCAATTGGATAGTGTAATAGCAAGTAGGGGTGGGCATTGGAACCGTAAAACCGCAAAACCGAACAAAACCAATCCGAAAAAAACCGAAAAAAACCGTGTTGACCGGAAAAGTCAAAAACCGAGTCCAATCCAAACCGAACCGGTTCAAACCGGTTCCAGTTCCGGTTTTTCACCCTAATGAACCGGTCCAATCCGAACCGGTCCAATAGAATTAATTTTTATATATTTATATATTATATATATATTTGTGAAATTTTTTTAGGCCCAAACCCAACTATTTCATTATACCAACAAAAAGCCCAAATTTCCCAAGTCCATTGCCTAAGTCCAACAAGCCATATTTTAATATCCTAATCCTATCAAATCTCACATCACTCTCTTTCTCTCACGCCCTCTCTCTCTTTTCCTCTCAGATTTCCTCAACTTACTTTTTCTTTCTTTGTTTTCTCTTCTGCTTCTTTTCCTCTCGGTTCCTCAACTTATTTTTTCTTCTTTCTTTCTTCTCTCTTCTGCTTCTTTTCCTCTCAGTTCTTTTTTCTTCTTTCCCTCTTATTATTTCTTTCTTCTCTCTTATTCTTTCTCCTCTCATTTCGTCTTTATTTTCTTTTTTTCTTCCTCTCTTTCTCTGATTTTCTATTACTCTGATTTTTTTTCTTCTTGGTTTTATGTTTCTCTCTCTCCCTCTATATCTCTTTTCTTTGCAACTCTGTTTTTGTATTTCTCTCTTCTTTTTTTTCTCTTCATTTTTTGTTTCTCTGTACATATATGTGTTCATCTTGTAGATCTGGGTGAAGTTCTTGGAGATCTGGGTTAAGTTCTTGGAGATCTGGGTTAAGTCCCAGTCCAAAGCAGGTCAGCGTCTCTTATCTCTCCAATCCCTTGTGCAGATCTGTATTTTTTTTTGGTCAACTATCCATTTTGGTGCGTTTATTTCACTTTTGGTTTCATTTGTTTCTTCTGATATGGTATTGATATTTTCTATGATTTGGGGCTGATGATGTTACTGAGGTCTGATTCTCTTCTTTTTCTTCTTTCGATTTTTTCCTGTTGTGTTTTGACATACCTGTTCTTTATTCCTGATATCATTCCTCAGTGGCATGCAAATCTTTGAACGTTGTTGTAAACTTTAGATGGGAGAGAAGCTCATTCATTATTTTTCAGAAAAAGAAAATAACATTACAACAATTGACAATTTGTTGCTCTTTGAAACAGGTACTGAAGTAGCATGGATAAAAAGAAAGACTGAAGATGTTGCAGAAAATTGAATGTGTTCTATTTCTGTAATTTGTTTGTAATTAAATTTGCTTTATTTTGTTTTGTTTTTAGGTTTTAAGTTTTATATTAATGCTTGCTATTTGTTGTTTTGTCAAAAAATTGTATTAATGCTTGATGGATTCATTCAATTTGCAGTGTGAATGTGAATTGGGCCAATCGGTAATAATTAGGCCCAAAAGGTTTTAAATATCAATTGGGCTGAAGCTTTAAAAAAATGTAAGAACAAAAAAAAAATCAATTAAGTTGAAGAATCGGCCCAAACCGTAAAAACCGGAACTGAACCGGATCAAAACTGGATCGGGTTGGTCCGGTTTTGTCTGGTATTTTTGTTAAAATCCGAACCGGACCGGACCGGTGAACAGTACCGGTTTCGGTCCCAATTTTGCCTGAGAACCGGTCCAAACCGGACCGTGCCCAGGCCTATGGAGTATAATGTTTATGTCTTCCATTATTAACTGATGTATTTGCTAGCTTCTTTTTTTCTTTTCTAACATCATATGAGATCCACCATTTGTGTTGATTTTCGGTGTGAGGTTAATAAAATAGAGGTAGAGGATTTGAGAGAAATGATTGAGAATGGGCTTGGATTGGAAGTAACAATAGAAACTGCAGACCCACACTATGTAAATTCCAATAAGGCTCACATGGCGTGTAAGAAAATGGACCACCCAAAAATCAATGAGACTCTGTTGAAAAGGTCAATGAAAATGCAATAAATTCTATGATAAAAATCTAACAAACTCCATTAAAATCCGTACAGAATTCCGTTAAAGCTTTTGTATATATAAAATTCGTTACAATCTCAATTAAATACCTATAAAATCTTTAAGAATCTTGTATCTGAAAAACGTGTAAATATATTATTTTCAAATGAAAATTTTAGAGGTATATTTAATTGGGATTTTAAGAGATTATTTTGAGATAAATAAGTCTCGTGGTATTCAATTAAGACTTTTAAATTATATAATCAAGTCTTGTGGTATTCCATTAAGACTATTAGGATTTTTAAAAGAGTGTGTCTAAATCTATTGGTATTCAATCAAGACAAGTAACCAAAAGTCTTATGGTATTCAAAAACTTGCTAATTTTAATGGAATTTTTTAAATGTGGAATTGTGCGGGATTTTTTAGTGAGAGGTATAAATATCAAACCCTATCTCAAATCTCACACTAACCCATCAGATTTTCCAAATGGGATTTTTTTCTCTGCTGTAAAGATGAACATACATGCTCATGAAATGTCTCTGAATCTAGATTTTCCTTGTTGCACATGAAATTCATCGAGCGCGCCAACTACTAGTTTTTCAAATGAAACTATATACAAGCAATGCAATCAATCGTTGTCTCTCTCTACAACCATCTAACCACACCTTTTATTGGTTGAACAAAACAAAAACCACACCTTCTATTGGTTCCTCAAAAGCTACAATATTCTTGGGGCTTCGACTAAAATCATGAAATCATGTACCCAGTTAAGGAACCATGAAATCATTCAACACTTCCATGCCCATATCATCAAACTTGGATTTGGTAATCATTTATATGTGGCCACTTCTCTCCTTCAAGCGTACATTGTTGTTTCGTTTGTGGATGCCTGTGAACTATTCGATGAAATGCCTGGGAAGAACACTGTCACGTTGAACATGATGATTGCAGGGTATACTTCTCATGGATGAAAGTTTAAAACCTGACCAAGTGACTACAGGCTCAATTTTTTGGATTAACTCTCAAAGTTCCCACCCATTTCTTGGATTGGTGTCTTGTGCACATTTTGGGTGGTGGGTTGCGTGAATCTTCATGTTTTAAATTCATGAACTGTGAGTAGTTTCTGAAACAGTTATGGGGTTTCGAGAAAGCCATTTCATTTATAAACTTTGAGGGAGCTAAAAATATATTTCTCATGTTTGGTAGTGCAAAAGTGGCTGGAAATTGTGTTAGTATGAAAATTGTATTGGCATTTCCTAGACCCTAGCATAGGTCGGGAATTAGTGTGTGAATATCTTTTATTGAAAGTTTTGGCGCAACACATTCAATCCCGAATTTTCGAAGTGTGACTTGATCGATATGAGGAAACTGATTTCAAGTAAATCATGACATAATCATGCATTCATATAGGATTTCTAGTTGGAGTTATTTTCACTCAAGTACTTTTATGTTAGTCCTATTTTTAATA